CTTCGTCTCTCTCTGTCGCTCCTTCCCCGGGGAGGGACGCCACCTTCCCCGCAGTCGAGACGAGGGAAGATCGGAGGCTGCTGTACTGTTCTGCCCCCTGCGCTGGTTCAGCATGGCGGTTTTTTCCATGGCATTTTGGGTGCCACGCTGTTGGGCGTGGGAAGGGAGGGCAGAGAAGATGGCTTCCGGGAGAGGTGAGGTGAGGGGGTACCCATCCTCCTCCTCCCACTGGAATCTTAGAGAGTCACACTTAGGTATTCATGTTGTTGTTGTTTAGTCATGTCCGACTCTTCGTGACCCCCTGGACAGAGCACGCCAGGCACTCCTGTCTTCCACTGCCTCCCGCAGTTTGGTCAAACTCATGCTGGTAGCTTCGAGAACACTATCCAACCATCTCGTCCTCTGTCCTCCCCTTCTTCTTGTGCCCTCCATCTTTCCCAACATCAGGGTCTTTTCCAGGGAGTCTTCTCTTCTCATGAGGTGGCCAAAGTATTGGAGTCTCAGCTTCACGATCTGTCCTTCCAGTGAGCACTCAGGGCTGATGTCACAACTCCCCCTTCTCCGGTGCAACTGATTTGATTTCAGAATTGAGAGGTTTGATCCATGGGACTCTCAAGAGTCTCCTCCAACACCAGAATTCAAAAGCATCATTTTTTCAGCGATCAGCCTTCTTTATGGTCCAGCTCTCACTTCCATACATCACTACTGGGAAAACCATAGCTTTAACTATGGAATTGTAGAGTTGGAGGGATCTCCAAGAGTCATCTATTCCAACTCCTGCAATGCATGAATCCTGCCCACAGCCGTCCCTGGGTGGGCTCGAACCACCAACCTTCTGGTTTACAGCCAGACACACTGACCCATTGTGTATTTTACAATATTGTAAAATACCAAAATAATAAATACACATTTTATGTGTGTAAGGCAGGGGTCAGCAACCTTTTTCAGCTGTGGGCCCTCACGTGTCCCTCAGACCATGTGCGGGGCAGGACTATATTCTGGAAGAAGAAAAAAGAACGAATTCCTATGCCCAGTGGCGTAGCGTGGGGGGTGCAGGGGGTGCCGGCCGCACCGGGCGCAACATCTGGGGTTAGGGCAAATCCACAGGTTAGGGGGCGCAAATTACTTGCCTTGCCCCGGGTGCTGACAACCCACGCTACGCCACTGCCTATGCCCCACAAATAACCCAGAGATGCATTTTAAATAAAAGCACACATTCTACTCATGTAAAAACATGCTGATTCCCAGACCGTCCGTGGGCTGGATTGAGAAGGTGATTGGCCCACGGGCCTTAGGTTGCCTACCCCTGGTGTAAGGTAACCTTCTGGAAGCAGTTGGCGCCAAAACCAGGCATAGGCTGCTGCTATGTTTTCCTTGCAGCTTAGGTTGCAGCCCTAGTTTCACTTTCCTGGGAGTAAGCCCCATTGAATTCCACAGGGTTTGCTTCTGAGTAGACATGCCTACTATTAATCTGTGAAAACGGAAGCGGAAGGGGGATTCAAAGTGCAAACCCCACTGATGAACTACCTCTTTTCTTTTAAAGTTAATGGGGGAAGCAGCCAGGACTTTCAGATCCCCATTTTTTTTAAGGGAGGGGGGAATTCCTGCATCTCTTACATTGCTGGGCAGAATGGAGAATTTTGGGAAATGGAGCTTGACTTACTAGAAGCTTCCCTGCTTGTGTCACAACTCCCCCTTCTCCGGTGCAACTGTTATAGAAGTACACATCACACACACACACACACCACATTTAATGTAGCAGAGGGCGGTGGGGACTTGAGAGAGGTTTGGTCTAGTCAAGTGATGGGGAACCTTGAGTCTAACAGCAATTGGACGGCCACAGGTTTACTACACTGATGTAGCCCTTTGAACTCTGCTGATGGGACCTTCTTGGGATCTTTCAGAGTTGCCAACTGATCCATCTTTTTATTCCCAGAGCTGATGCTCCACTTATAGCCCACCTTACAGGGCTGTTGTGGAGGATTGCTGGCATAATGTACACAAAGTGTTGGGACATTTCAAATACGCAGTATTAATAATAATTTATTATTTGTACCCCGCCCATCTGGCTGGGTTTCCCCAGCCACTCTGGGCGGCTTCCAACAAAGATTAAAAATACATTAAAATGTCACACATTAAAAACTTCCCTAAACAGGGCTAACTTCAGATGTCTTCTAAATGTCAGGTAGTTGTTTATCTCTTTGACATCTGGTGGGAGGGTGTTCCACAGGGCGGGTGCCACTACCGAGAAGGCCCTCTGCCTGGTTCCCTGTAGCTTTGCTTCTTGCAGTGAGGGAACTGCCAGAAAGCCCTCAGTGCTGGACCTCGGTGTCCAGGCAGAACGATGGGGGGTGGAGACGCTCCTTCAGGTATACTGGGCATTAATAATGGTGGCGGCTGTTTTTTACTTCTAATAGGATGGCATTCCCAGTTGCTTCCCTAGTGACATTGCTGTTGGTGTATCACTTGTTAGATAGACTGAGAAACCCCACCTCCACCTTTAAGGACAAAGCAGTCAGGTTGTCAGTGGCTGCCCAGGTCACTTCCTCATGCCTTCTTTACCTGAACCCCCTCTGTTTTCCTTCTCTGAATTCCCACCTTGCTTAGATTGTAAGCTGTTTGGCGGGCTGGTGGGGCAGCAGCACCTCCGGCAGCCTTTTCTTGTTCAGTATTGTATGCACAGAATTTGTTAAGCTGATATAGGCAGGCCCCTTCCCTCAAGGAATTTGCGCGTGAAAACCAGCCAAGGAGAAGATAAGACAAGGCAGAGAGAAGTGGGAGCAAGGAAGGGATGTGGGCAAAGGCAACTGATGTGATTGAAGCTAGAAATGGGGACTCATCTGGGTTTCCTAAGGGGAAAGTAGGATTTGAGGAGGGATTTGAAGGAAGGAAGATAAAATATATGAAGTGCCGTGGAGAAATGGGAAAGGAGAGCTTGGCTGCCATAGGAATAAGATTTTAGGCAAACCAATAAATACCAACAGCACCAATGATGTAATTTAGCATTTATGTAGCATGTGTCTGGTTTCTAAGGGCTTCTCTGAGAAATTCTTACAATACATAACAGCCCTGTAGGGGATGCCAGTATTATTGTCCTCGTATTGCAGGTGGGGGGGGGGAGCAGGCTTCACCTGTCTGGAGGGCGCTAGGTTGGCAAAAGCTGACTTAGCGAATATGTGACGGAGGAGAGAAGGGCCTGAGGAATGAGGGACTTTGGCCCTCTTTTTGTGGTGGGCCCTGCTCCTGTACCTTTAAGGACAGTCGGATACCCAAACATGTAGAGTTGGTGGTTTCCTGGGATCAAGGGGCACGGTGGGAAAAGCTTCACCCTATTGAGTTGGATGGGATCTCTGAGGGTCATCTGGTCCAACCCTCTGCAATGAAGGAATCTTTGGCTCAACATGGGGCTCGAACCCACGATCCTGAGATTAAGAGTCTCATGCTCTACTGACTGAGATATCGCAGCAGTTCTGGTGAAAGTATAGGAGCAGTCCTGGTGCAAAGTAAACAGCACAGCTGCCACCCGGACCACTGAGCTATTCTATACCAGAACAGAACTTGCTCTGACTTTGGGACATAGGAAACAGTCTTACACTGAGAAAGACCACTATTCCACCAACTCAGTACTGTCTGCCCTGACTGGCAGTGGCTCTTTAAGATGTCACCAGGGTTATCTGCCATCCCTACTCGGAGATGATGGGATTGAACCCACAAAGCAGATGCTCTACCACTTCCCCTTATATGCTCCAGCTTTCCCTATTTACTTGTCCCTGGGACCTTGGCTGCCTGCATTTTGCCTTTGGGGAGATTTGGGGATCTAAAGAAATTCCCCACAAGCCATGTTAGGCTTCTTGCACAGTGCACAAGCTTCCTTTGCACCTCAGCCATGCTGTGAACATTTCCTTGAATGCATCTGAGTTGCAGCTGTTCCATAAGTCTGGCTATATATCTTGTGAAAATAAATGCTATAAAATATTGTTTAGGTTGCTGTTTTAAAAAAGGATATATTATTATTATTTTGCTTTACTAATAAGCCATCCAAAACCAGCACAAAGCAGGTGATTGCACAGGAAATAAATATAGCATACAGCTAAGAGCCTTCAGCAGTGTATAATAGTGTGTGTGTATTGGGGTGTGGGGAAGCGGGTAGCCTTCTGGCAGTGATTTTTAGTTCAAAGACAAGGGGGCTGTAATTATACAAGAGTGTCCTCTTTTTCCGGAGAACTGTTGGAGGGTATCTAATTTGAATATTAAGGCTGCAGTCTTATATACTTCTGAGGAAATGTTAGCTGAGGAACAAGCTTTAAGAATTCTGATTTAACATCTCCACCATTGGCGTTGTAAAGCAGCTACCAATTGTACCAGCCTTCCCCCAACCTGCTACTTTCCAGATCTTTTGGACTATGACTCCCATCAGCCCCACTATTTGATCCTGGAGCTGATGGGGTCACGGCTGCGCTGGCTGGGGCTGATGGAGTCGTAGTCCAAAACATCTGCTAGGCATCATGTTGGCGAAGGCTGGACTATAGGCTATAACACCTTGAACAGAATAGTGCCTTAAGGCGCTATAGTTTAGCACTGTAGCTTCTTATATGGCTGGCCCACTGTACTGACCCTGCCAGGGAAACCTCAAACATCACAGGGGTGGGGGGGAGGTTATAAGTTTTTTATCCTCTCTTTCTTCCATCATGGAATTGGAGGACATATGCATGTGGTTTCCCATCTGGTCTCCCATCCAGGCACACATCAGATCCACCCCTGCCTAGCTTGGCAACTTGCAAGGCTCTCAGCCTAAAAGTGCGTGGAGTCCAAATGCACAGGTTTTCAGAATTCAGTGTGAAACTGTGTGGCTGAGGTACCTCTCCTTTCAGCGGCCATTACAGAAAGAAAAGTCCCATCTGGGAGAGAAGCTCTGGAAGGCCTCCTCAAATCAGGCTGCATCCTGACTTCCAGTATGGCCAAATCCCTCAACTCACTCGAGCTTTGAACCTTCTCCTCAGGGCTCCGCTGATTCGTACACCAGCCGCCCATCGCTGGACTCCGACGTGTCGCTCGAGGAGGAGCGCGAGGGGGTGAAGCGCGAAGTGGAGAACCAGGCTCAGCAGCAACTCGAGAAAGCCAAGGTACTGGCAGGGGAGGGTACGCCAGCCTTGGTTTCAGCTAAGCAGATGTTGGGTGAGGACCTCTTTGTCCATGAAACAGCTTCCCTTGGTCCCCAGCAGCTCTGAATGCAGGGAGGGAGGCAACCTGTGGCCTCCCATATATTTCCTTACCACAAGTCCCATCGTCTCCAACCCCTGGCCATGCCGGCTGGGGCTGATGAGAGTAGGAGTCCAAGACAACATCTGAGGAGCCACAGATTCCCCAGCCCTGCCCTGGGCCAGGAGGGGTGGACTGTAAGGAGCAGAAAATAATCTTTAAGTTTTATGTAAACGTCATACTGCTTTCTCATGAACATTCTGGAATGGACTAGTGCATTTCCAATCTGCCTTCAGGATAACGGCGCCTCAGCCCTCCCCCAAACAGTGACCTCAAAATGATCCATGATGACGGGGGTGGGCTGCTCTTCAACGACTTCTTGGTGGCCCCACATCTGCCCTTCATTTTGGCTTCTGAAGACCACAAAGAGCAGGGGAGCGAGCAATTTTTGGCCTTCTGCTCACTGGTTTCCATGACTGCGGTTTCTTCTCCTTTCTGTAGATTACAATTGATGTAATCCTCACCCGTGTGTTCCAAAGGCATCATACACAACACACACAAGCCAATGGGGTGGCATTTATTAGTGGATAAAAGAGAAACGGGCTACAATCCAGTATGGGAGGGAGCACATCTGGGCTGCCCTGCGTGTTCTGTTGCTGCAGCTAATGACCACATTAAGGGCCAAGCTAGATATTACAAAGCAGATTCAGACAATAGTTTCCTGATCGTGGTTGTTGTGTATTTTTTTAATAAATAAAAAGCACTGTGTGAGGCTGTGGGTTTGATCTGAGGAATGGGGGAGGGAGGGGTTGCTTTGGCCCTTCTACTCCTGCCAGTCTCTTGCTCAAATTTGCTTCCCACAACTGTTTTCGTCACTTGCGCAAAGGAAGCATGGGAGTCTGAAGACCATTAAATGTAATACTGGATTTGGCCTCATGAATCACTTTTCTATATAATCCATATTACATTAGTTGTGATACATGTATGATATCATGGCAATATAGGTTGCCCTCAGTTCAAGTCTTGCTGCAGCCATGTACTCACTGTGGGAATGTTCAGGGAGGCAGCAGAGGATATATTGTTTGTTTATATCCTTCCCAACTTGTGTTAACAAGTTCTACAATTTAGCAGAGTAACGTTCCCCTTTTAAACTTTCACAGCGGATAGGTTTGCACGGCTTGTATAAGCCTCTAAAATAAGTTTCCTGGTAATTCCCCTTTATTCCTCTTAAAAAGAATAGATATGACACAGTCTTGTATAAAAATATAAAAGAGTTTACTCACATGTTCTGTTCACAGATGGATCCCAGAAGGCAGACTTAAGTTACAAGATATATACACGTGGAATCTATCCCATAAGGAGATAATTCCTTTGTCCTCTCTTGACTGGAAGCCAAGAGAGCATCTCAGGCTAAGGAAATGTTGCTTCTTTGAGGAATGGAGTCAGAGAGAGAGATGGCTGCATCCCCTGTGCTATTTTGTTACCTGCACAGGTGAGGTCACGCCCACCTCTGGTCACATGTAGAGGAAGTATGTCCCAGCCCAGGAGGAAACAGGAAGTTCCAACTGGCTGGTCCAGACATCCCCCTTTTTATGTCCACTCTAGGAATGTTGTATTTGACTGCTCTGTGTTTCACACCCCACACTCACGAGACAACCCCCTCTCCTTACGTTCCCCTTACCTGCAACATGTAAATCTACTTTATAGGGCTGTTGCAAGGATTGCATATAAAGTGTTTTAAACACCTACAAGAAGAGAGACCATCAGTGGGTTCTCTAACCAGCGAGAGTGGGAGCAGGTGTGTGGAAATGTACAAACTGAGTGAGCATCCTGAAGTCCTTTCCTCAGATGACTCCAACAGCCAAGTCAAACCTTGTTCAGTCTAGAGAATTTTCTAGAGAACTAACAAACCTCATTAAGGGGAACTTTTCCTTGTCTAGCTTCCTCAGTGGAGGGCTCCATGGTCCTTGCCCCATCAACTGCCCTCGCTACCCTTTGGAACTGGGCATAATCCCGAGAGTGACGGATCCTGCACATTTGTTCTTGAGAGGGAAGTGACGAGGTCCCATCTGACCTGGCGCTGACAGGCTCCCTCTCTGATTTCTTTTCCTCCTCAGAACAAGCCGGTCGCATTTGCTGTTCGTACCAATGTCAGCTACTGTGGGACGCTGGATGAGGAATGTCCTGTGCGTGACTCTGCCATCAACTTTGAAGCCAAAGACTTCTTGCACATCAAAGAGGTGGGGCCTGGGTGGAGATGGGGAGAGGGAGAAGAGTTGTCAGCAACAGCTTGCAGTTGTAGTACCTCTTTTTCCTGGAGGTACGATGCTGAATCGGGGGAGATTCAGGGCAGACAAAATCAGTACTGTTCACACAGCGCATAGCTAAACAATGGAATTTGCTGCCAAGAGATGTAGTGATGGCTGTCAAAAAGGACAGCTTTAAAAAGGAATTTGACAAATTCATGGAGCATAATGGCTACTAGTCTTGATGATTGTGTACTAGCGCCAAAATCAGAGTTGACATGGCCACTGTGGAAGACAGGATACTGGACCAGATGGGCCAAATTTAGATTGGATTAGTGCTGTTTTTGTTGGCATCTATCTGACTTGGGAGACAATGGATTGAGCCTCTGGGGGGCGAAGTTAATAGCACCGAAGTGACCCCCCTGGTGCATATTGTGGTGTATGGTGGTCCTGGGCTGCACAGATGACAAGGACTGCCCCCCCCCCACTGTCGTCCAAACAGAAAGCCAAGCAAAACATTCGGCACCTGCAAGGCGGAAGGAGGCTCACAGGGCATTTTAGGAACTTCACTCTGGATTTGTGCAGGGTACCATTCTTCTTCTTCCAGAGATATCCCCCAAGGCAGCGAAGGTTTAATTTGAGTTTTCCTTCTCCTAGATGGGATGCCTTTCCAGATGAAGGAGCCCCATCTGCTCCCCACTTCCTCTGCAGTGCTAGCTTCTCATCTATTAAATCCTGCCGACTCTCTGATTGCTACAGCCAGTGGTCCTTCTATCTGATATGTGACTTGAAATCTGGTCATAGCCTTCTGGTACTGAAGGGTCAGATCTTGAGCTACTGCAAGATTTATAGATGTTGGCTTGGTTTTTGGTTTTTTTAAAAATTAACATATTGTTACTCATCTTGAGGATTCAAAAATAGTAAAAAATATATAAGTTCTAACGTCAGTTGTTTACATGAGTAGTTTAATAAGTGAGAGATACTTCTCATTCCCTTCCTCTTTTTCTATACAGTGGTACCTCAGGTTACAGATGCTTCAGGTTACATACGCTTCAGGTTACAGACTCCACTAACCCAGAAATATTACCTCGGGTTAAGAACTTTGCTTCAGGATGAGAACAGAAATTGTGCTCCGGGAGGCCCCATTAGCTAAAGTGGTGCTTCAGGTTAAGAACAGTTTCAGGTTAAGAACAGACCTCCAGAACGAATTAAGTTCTTAACCCGAGGTACCACTGTATATGGTAGGAAGGTGTCTTTAAAGGGTCTATGGCCCTACAGATCTGTGAAGCCTTAAGTCTAATTCATGACCCTCTACCATGATGTCTCTGCAGAAGTACAGCAATGACTGGTGGATCGGGCGGCTAGTGAAGGAGGGGGGAGACATCGCTTTCATCCCCAGCCCACAGCGGCTGGAGGCCATTCGGCTGAAGCAGGAGCAGAAAGCCAGGTAAGAGGGCCTTCAGTGGGTGGGATGGCACATAACTCTGGCTCAGTCAGCCCCACCAGCAAGAGAAAGGGGTGTGATGCTTTTCTGTGGGGTGGGAGGCAGGTTGTAAAACTGGCAGTAGTACTGTGTACCTCCCCCCCCCTCCATCTAAGTTCTTTGGTAGCTAAACTCAAACAGCTGTGTGATACTGTGCATGGTTTTTAATATACCGTATTTTCCGCTCTATAAGACGCACCAGACCACAAGGCGCACCTAGTTTTTGGAGGAGGAAAACAGGAAAAAAAAATTCTGAATCTCAGAAGCCAGAACAGCAAGAGGGATCGCTGTGCAGTGAAAGCAGCAATCCCTCTTGCTGTTCTGGCTTCTGGGATAGCTGCGCAGCCTGCATTCGCTCCATAAGACGCACACACATTTCCCCTTACTTTTTAGGAGGGGAAAAGTGAGTCTTATAGAGCAAAAAATACGGTACATGTTCAGGGACACTGATGCTAATTCTAAGTTCAGCATCAATGAAGAGCTGCATGAGATGCTAACTTAGGTCCTGTGAGCCACCTTCAGTATACAGCACTGGCCCTTGTTCCATTGAGAAAACTGGACTGTGGGAGGGCGTGCTTTCTTTAGGCAGCTGCTGAATCTTCCAGACTTTGCTTTCCTATTCGGAACAAGCACATCCACACAAGCTTGAGCTCCACATTTCTCTCTCTGACTTTCTCTTTTCTTCCTCAATTAGGCAATCTGGTAATCCCGCCATCAGCAACAGGCGATCGCCTCCCCCATCACTAGGTAAAACCTTAAACAGGGTTGGGTGTCTGCTGTGTTTCTGTGGGAGCGCCGAATGCAACCGCCTGAGAACCTTAGCTTTTATTAAACCACAGAAGCAAGATCCTAGCCCTTACGGCTGCAATGATGCGCTTGAAAACGACTGGTGAAATCTTAGCATGTTTTTGCAGGCAGAAAAGCAAAGCAAAAACACCCACCCACACTTTTGTTTAAAACAATTCTGGTTTGGTTTATTTATTTCTTAAATTTGATATACTACTTGTTTGTAAGGGGAAAAACCTCAAAGAAATTTACACAAAGAACAAAACAATAAAATTATCAATATAAACAGTTCGAAACAGCTATTTGAAACATTCAGAAAATAATTAAAATCAACAATAAGCTAAAAGCAGATTAAAATACGTATCAGCATTCTACATATTTGGGCAGATTTGCCTAAACATAAATGTTTTTAGCAGGCACCAAAAAGTGAAGGTACTCGCCAGGTGAAAAATTTCTGACTAAATAAACTGCGCTGAAGCCAGATCCTAGTGTCAAATTGCACCACCTGCTGGAGCCAAAAAGATTTTTTATTGTCTTGAGAATTTCAGGTGTGGCAAGGGGAAGGCTCCTTGAGAAATTGTAGTAGAAGAGGCATTTCACCTCTGCCAGCTCTTTCTCCCCCTTGAGAAACAGAGAGAGACCAAAAAGATACTGCTGGAGGGGTGGTTAGACAGGCAGTGCCAAAAGGGAAGAGCTGCCTCTCCCTGCCTGAACCTACCCAGACCTTGCATTTGTCAGCCCAGGCCAGGGGTCGGCAAACTAAGGTCCGGGGGCCAGATCAGGCCCAATTGCCTTCAGGATCCGGCCCACGGACCGTCAGTGGATCGGCATGGGGATTCTGTTTGTTCGGGCTGCACTATCCCCCCCCCCCCGCGCCATTCCATCCTGCCCCCTCTCCCTCACACACCCCATGGCGGCGCCTCCTCCCTCCCTCCTCCTGGCTTCTCCCTGCCCTGCCTAGAGGAGGAAGGGAGCTGGGCTGAGCTGGCTGGGCGCCATTTTAAGCAGCCCCCTCCGGAGCCAGCCCTTTCGCGCCGCTCATCTCCCCTCCGCCACTGCCCTGGTGCTCCTATGGGCCAGAGAGCAGAGCGGACAAGCTCCTTCTGCCTACTCACGAGAAGTAGCAGTGGTGGTGGTGGCAGCCCTTGGGAAGATAAGCGCAGCGGCTGGGGTTGGGAGGAGGACTACTTGCCCCCCTCGCCTCTTCTTCCAGCTCCCCCCCCCAGTGCCGCTTCTCCAGCCCACCTCAAGGTCTGAGGGACAGTGGACCGGCCCATGGCTAAAATTTTTGCTGACCCCTGGCCTAGGCCCCTATTTGTGTGCCCCCTCCCTCGGAGGGAAGTGTAGAGGGCAGCAACAGGAGAATGGTTCTTCTCAGTGGTGGATCCCTGACCGTAGAATGTTCTCCCTAGAGAGATGCACCAGGCGACATCACTATCAGCTTTTTTGGTGCCAGGCAAAGAGGGGGACTTATTGGCTGGTTGGTTCTTGTTCTGGTTTTCATCATGTATTTTCTGCTTTTATATTTTATTTTTATGTTGTGAACTGCCCTGAGATCTGTGGATGAAGGGTAGTATACAAATTTAATAATTAAAATAAAATAAAATCCCTGTTCATCCAGACATTTAGCTTTGAATTGGGCTTATACGGATGATTCCCCTAGCCTGCATTGGGGCTATCTTTTAACAGGGTGGAGTGGGAGATGTCCTTTTTTATGCAATTTCAGGACAGGCTCTTTTAGTCAGTAATGTTCTTTTAGCTTTTTGGTGTGTTTGAACTTTTGTATTCTTTTGTGCTTTTATCATTGTAAGTCGCTTTGAGACATGTAGTAAGCGATGAATAAATGCAAAAATTAAATAATGCCAAGTAAAACAAGAGCACCGGATTCTCAGTGCAGGCAGGGAAAGATGGATAGTGTTGCCAACCACACTGGAAGCTGAAAGAACAGAGAATTGCAGTCGAAGAGGGAAACACAGCAATGCATCCAGTTGTCTGGATTTCACTTTCCTTAGCACAAAATTTGGATGCAATGCCCTGAGCACCAAATGTTAAATGCTTTTAATGTCATACATGCATAAGCCACTGCTGACTTCAAATGTATCCCTTTAAGACCTAGGCCTTAAATGTATCCCTTTAAGACCAAACTTGGCCCTCCAGCTGTTTTGGGACTACAATTCCCATCATCTCTGACCACTGGTCCTGTTAGCTAGGGATGATGGGAGTTGTAGTCCCAAAACAGCTGGAGGGCCAAGTTTGGCCATGCCTGGCCTAGGCTTACTTTGTCCCTGCCCTGTCACATGATTTGCAGATCAGAGGTTGTTTTAGGGTTGCACAACTGGTGCCACACTGGGTGCCGTGCTGCAGGGGGTGCCACAACAGTGAGGCCACAGATGCCTTGCGAGAGTGAGGCCGGGGGAGAAGGGGAAACAGGAAGGCAGCCACCCCCCACCCCAATTCCAACTCCCAAGGGATTAAAGCTCTTAAACTGCAGGGCCCCTTGTCCTCTGTGTAGTCTTGTTCATTTGCTGATACTTCACTGTTGACAACCCCGTATTTTCTTTTCCCCCCAACAAGCCAAACAGAAGCAAAAGCAGGTAAGGACTCAATGCTGGGATGACCCTCTTCTGTGCTGTGTCTTTTCCCCGCTAGCCAGTCCTACAAGCGGAAGACGGGGTGAACTGTGAGGCCATCCTGTCCAAGGCTGCATTTCCAGTATGCCTCTAAACCACATTCGAAACACATTTCCCCCCTCAGAGAACTCTGGGCACTGTAGTTTACCGCTGAGATACAATTCCCAGCGATCCTCGACAAACTACAGTGCCCAGAATTCTTTGAGGGCCCCCCGCAGAACGTGCTTCCAATGTGCTTTGCACATATGTGTGTGTGCCACCTAACTTTGAACAGAGTGGATTTCATGCTAGAATGGCATCCGAGGTGGAGCTGCCTTTGGCTGGAGCAGCCTGCAGTGATGGGGGTCTTCCCCCCTTACAGGGCCACCTGAGTGTGTGCTGGGGGGCATTTTGCCCCATGTAGACCAGGATACAAAGGCAGCAGGCTTTTTAATCAGTTTTGATTAGGCTTCCTCCCCATGCTCAGCATAGAAATGTGAGAGGAGGGGAAGGCTGGTGGGCCGGGTGTCCACAGGAAGGAGGGACAATTGCTGACCCCAGTTTAGCCATAATTCCTTGATTCCCAGCTTTCATTTAAAAGAGGGAGGGGGGAGTACAGGTTCTATTCTTCCCATTTTTTGGTGAGAAACTAGCTTGCTCTCCCCTGTCAGTGTTTTACTCCCTGCCACCCAGAAAAATGCCCACATGTAGCGGTTTGGGTGGCTGCTGTGGGCGCAGTAGGAGGTGGCAGTGTAGTGCAGAGAAGAGGGGCTGGGGCTGAGCAGGTGAGGCCATTTCCTGTTGTAAGGAGTTCATAGCTTGTTGATAGGTAAAGGTAAAGGTACCCCTGCCTGTACGGGTCAGTCTTGACAGACTCTAGGGTTGTGCGCTCATCTCACTCTATAGGCCGGGAGCCAGCGCTGTCCGCAGACACTTCCGGGTCACGTGGCCAGCGTGACGAAGCTACTCTGGCAAGCCAGAGCCGCACACGGAAACGCCGTTTACCTTCCCGCTAGTAAGCGGTCCCTATTTATCTACTTGCACTTAAGGGTGCTTTCGAACTGCTAGGTTGGCAGGCACTGGGACCGAACAACGGGAGCTCACCCCGCCGCGGGGATTCGAACCGCCGACCATGCGATCGGCAAGTCCTAGGCGCTGAGGTTTTACCCACAGAGCCACCCGCGTCCCAGCTTGTTGATACTGATATGATATTGTAGCAAAGCAAAAGGGATATAGGGGTGGTATCTGATCCCTCATCATCCATTGGGATTGCGTATATGTGTTTCCGGTTGAAATGGAGAGAGCCCCCACTTTGTCATTACTGCTCTCCTTTCTCCTACTTTCTGGGCTGCAGAGGAGGGGGAAAAGCCATTTTGTGACACACCCTCCTTTTTACAGACAGAGCACATCCCACCTTACGATGTCGTGCCCTCCATGAGGCCGGTGGTGCTGGTGGGGCCATCCCTGAAAGGATATGAGGTATGGGAACGTGGAAGGGACAAACCCACATTCTGAAATATGGCTGTAGCCAGTGCATTTTTGGTAGGGGCGGGGGGAAGACGAGCTGCCAGTACTCGTATATTCCTAAAAGTGCTGTGGGTACCAGCACAAAATAGCTCCCATGTCACATAAAAAATTCCTGGCTGTGGTAGTCATTTGACCAGCACCGCTGCTCTCTTGCCCTCTGTCCTTTCTTTTCAGGTGACAGACATGATGCAGAAAGCTCTCTTTGACTTTCTCAAGCACAGATTCGATGGCAGGTAAGGCACTATTCTGAAATGAAGAGCAATTTCGACCCCTACCTGTTGCCTGGTTCCCGTGCCGCTAGTGAGTGTTGGGTAATGGTCTTGTCGCCTGTCATCCTGTCTTTCAGAATCTCCATCACACGGGTCACAGCTGACTTGTCACTGGCCAAGCGCTCAGTGCTGAACAACCCAGGCAAGCGGGCCATCATTGAGCGATCCACTACCCGGTCCAGTATCGGTGAGTCCCAGCAGGTCCCACAAGGTCAACGGGAGTTGATGCTCCAGGCATCAACCCCTGGCATCTCCAGGTGGGGCTAAGAATTACCGTATTTTTTGCTATATAGGACACACCGGACCATAGGAGGGGGAGAACGGGGGGTGGGGAATTCTCCCCCTCTCTGTTCAGCGCCCCTTCAGCGAAGCGGCAGGAGAAACAGAGCCCCTTCCATTTCTTGTCCTGCTTCGCTGAAGGGGCGCTGTGCAAAGAGGGAAAACTGTGCAGCGCCTCTCCAGCGAAGCGAAGCCTAGAGAGCAAGAGGGATAGGTGTGCACCGACTCCTCTCCCTCTCCAGGCTTCAGGCGGCTATCCGCAAGCCTTCGGAGCGCGGCGGGAACTCCTGCTGCGCTCCGAAGGCTTGCAGATAGCTGCCTGAAGTCCCCTGAGCACAGCGGGAATTCCCTGTGCTCCAGGGGCTTCAGGCGGCTTCAGCGAAAGCAACGCTAAGCCTCTGGAGCACGGGGGGAGCTCTTCCTCTGCGCTTCGGAGGCTTCGAGTTGCTATCGCTGAAGCCAAGGAGCCTGCATTCGCTCCATAGGACGCACACACATTTCCCCTTCATTTTTGGAGGGGGAAAAGTGCGTCCTATAGAGCGAAAAATACGGTATCTGCTTGTCTGAAACCCTGGAGAGCCACTGTCAGTCAATGCAGACGGTACTGAGCTAGATTATCTGTTCTTGTAAACATACAGTTTCATGTGGGGTGAAAAGTAATATATGGCACAATTGAGTGAAGTACCCTAATGCTGTTTTCTTGCACGATATCTGTGCAGTTATAGTTGCACATGTGGGAATGTGCAGAATGCAGACGCAGTGCGAAAGCGTCACGTGGCTGCATCTCAGTGTCACCCTGTAAAAATGAGTAACATTAGCAGAATTAAAGGTGTTTTTTTCCTCCTTACGTTGACATTGTACTATAAAACTGGATCCTGTCAGTTCACCTGAAGCAGCCTCCTCATTCTCCTTGAATGTACCCGGGGTCTTGCATTTCACCGCTTCCTGCAGGAGGCAACACACTGTTGTTATTTATATACCTCTCACAGCATTTTCAGAATGGGTTCCTGCTCATTTCCCAAGCTTACAGGGAAGGGTAATAATAATCTCAAAGACCCACCAAGTCTGAAAAGGGACAATTATTCTTTTAGAAAGTGGTTTCTAAGTGGGATAGTTATTTATTTCATTTTCACTTCTGGAAAACAGGTTTTGCAGGGCATTGTATGGCATAAAAAACCCCTGCACAATTTGCTTGACTAGAAGTAATAGTGGGACAATATAATAATGTATGAACCATGCATTTATATAGTGCTTTCAAATGTCCAAAACACTTCAGATGTGTTACCTTGTAATCCTTGCAAAACCCCTGTAGGATAGGTCAATCGAAGTGCAGATAAAGGCTGGGAGAAAGTAGCAAACCTTCCCAATGTCACCTGATTAGTCCTTGGCAGATTGGAGGATTTGAAATAAGGACGTTCTGGAGTGTAGCTCCCTGTCTCTTACAAGGCAGTCCTATACTTGTCTACTCAGAAGATCTGTCTTCTGAGTTTAATGGGACTTACTCCCAGCTAGGATTACATGTGATCGACTCCCATCACCTGGAGGGCCACAAGCTCCTGTCCCTGCGCTGCACCCAGAGAAGGGCCCTGTCATTGGGCAGAGTGAGGAAGCTGGCTGAGGCAGTAGATACTGCTGTGACGGTGCCCAAATGATGAGAGGACAGAGCTGTGTCCTCAGAACCTAGCCTGCCATCCTGCTATCCTAACTGAAACTTTCACCAATGCTACATCCCAGATACTTAGGGTCTAGAGACCTGAACAGGCAATTATAAATCCTTTTAGAAACAAGAAAGAAGCTCACCATAAGTGAGCTGTGGAGGTGAGACTCCAGTGTGTGTGGATGCCAGAGAGATGCCTGAGGCAGGAGGCAGACAGAGCCTTCTTTCCTGCCTATTCAAAGGAGCGTCCAGCCAACTGTCCTTCTCCTTCCTTCGCAGCTGAAGTCCAGAGCGAGATCGAGCGAATTTTTGAACTGGCCAAGTCGCTGCAGCTGGTTGTGTTGGATGCGGACACCATCAACCACCCAGCACAACTGGCCAAAACTTCGCTGGCCCCAATCATCGTCTACGTCAAGGTCTCTTCCCCCAAGGTAAGCAGGGGAGGAAAAGGCTCCTCAGAGACAAAGGGGATTCCTCTGAATCATTCTCAGTTTTTCTGAAGCCCCTTTTAGCTCTCCCAGCTGTGTCTTCCGCTATCCCCTAGTTTTGCAGTGGGAGGTGGATTCCTCCCGTCTCTAGGCTGCTCCTCAGCTCACTAGGTAAGCTGGTTTCTGCTTAGTTTAATTTATGCCCACCCCACGTTTTCCTGAATGGGCAGGGCCATGTTCAGAACAGGGATAGGCGCTTAGGGCCCCACAGATGTCGAATATTAAGCTCCCCCCATCCCTGACTGTAATGGTTCTAGGGGTTGCTCGTGCGTAAGCTTGTCCCAACACCTGGCTGGGTTGCCTGAGTGAACCTTTTCTGTCCGGACAGCCACTCACCCGTGGCCGAATCCGTCAGTGGGCGTTTCTTAAACTTCTTCCAGCAAAGAAGCTCTTTGACGCCCAGTCTCCTCCTACTCTCCCTGCGCGGAAGCCTTCTGCGCAAGGAGGGCGTAGGCAGCGGAGGACCCTTCCTCCCCCTGCTGGTTCCCGGCAAGGAGTCATGTGACTCCCTCTCAGATTCCCCCATCTGCCCCCCTTCTCCACTGGAGCTGAGCTGATTCCCTTCCCCAGAAGATGGGCTGTCTCTCCCAATCCCGGGACGCTCTCTGGGATCCCTTTGGAGCTTGCTCTCTCTCTCGGACACTGATGGCAGTTCCCTGACACTGACTATTGGGCATGCTGGCTGGAGCTGATGGGAGCTGAAGTCCAGCAATGTTTGGAGGACAGCAGGTCCCACAGTCCTGTTTTAAAACCTTACCAAAAGAGTTATATATACCCGCTCCCTGAAATCCCCACTTTGCAAAGTTAGCATTTCAGCTCAGGGTTTGGTTTCCGCTAGGACAGCCAGATTGCAACTCAGAGATTCACCACCACTGCACCCAGTTACCTTGAAACCCAACTCTGACTCTGCATGTTGTTGAGAAGGAATCCAGGTGTGCTGCCCAACAGGTGCCAGCGGGGGAACCGGGCAGTGAAGTGGCAGCAGCACTCGATTTAAGGCTGTGTGGCTGGTTCCCCCACACAGGGCGCTGAACTGAGGGGTGCAAAATTATCATCATCATCATCATCATTAACATACCTATATTTATACTGGTACCTACTCAAAGTACCAAAAGTAATTATTGTGAAAATAAGAAACTTGAGGTGGGGGCACCACATTTTCTCCTCACACAGGACGCCATATTACCAAAGTCCACTCCTGGTGGCAGGTGAGGAGAGAAAGTTGCTGCTCTCTTACTCTGGAGATTTGAAGATACAGGGGAGGTCTCTGAGTGAAGACCTGGCCACTCTAATTCCAGCTGCTGGGCCAAAGAAAAACACAAGGTTGGCTCACTTTCCACACAGGCGCACAACCCTTTTACCTTTACTATACACAGAAGGTCTTCTCTTTAGCCAGGCTGGTTGCCCAGGTCAAGCTTCGTGCTGTAGGGGATGGCAGCAATAGTACATCGGAAATGTGTGCTTGGATTTCTTGGTGTTTGCTTTCCCCCCCATATGAGGTTCAGTTGTTGGGTGGCTGTGGCAACAGCGGGAACTTTCTCACTGAAAATGTCAGTGCCAGGTGCCCCATGGAGCATGCAGTCTTCCCATGAAAGTGTGTGGGATTAATGGTACTCCCATAAACCATTTGGGATTTAGGATTACAGGAAGTGTAATCTGCTCAGTGGGAGAGCAGCTGCTCTGCATGCAGAAGGTTCCTGGTTCAATTCCACGCATCTCCCTGTCTGAAACGCTGGAGATCTGCTGCCAGTCAGTGTAGACCACACTGAGCTAGATGGACCAGTGGTCTGGCTCAATATAAGGCCCCTTCCTGCACACCCCCTTCTCCGAAGCAACGCTGTAAAGAGGAGGCACTAATTATCTGCAATGGTGCCCTCTCAAAGCCTGGGCTTCCCTGCTGCCTCTTCTAGCCCCATGGCTCTGCCAGTCGGTGGCTTCATAAGTTTTAGGAGCTGCAGAGGTGGAGAGAGGAGGCTGAGAGAGACCATGTGATGGTTTCATAGTAAATTCTGCTTCACAGCTCAGTCATCTCAGCCAATGCACCCCTCCTGCCCGCTTTAGGTGGCCTGCTGGGAGGCTTCCAGCTCTGTAGCTGTGTCCTCTTCTAATTTTATTTTTTTCTGGAAGGTGCTGCAGAGGCTTATCAAGTCCAGAGGGAAGTCACAAGTGAAGCATCTCAATGTGCAGATGATGGCAGCTGACAAGCTTGTGCAGTGTCCTCCAGTGAGTTTCTCTGTCTGCCTCTCTCTCTCTGTGTGACATGCCTCTGCCTTGCCCTGGGCACTGTCTGGCTCTTCATTTTCCTTCTGTGCCTCCTGTAACTTGACTTCCTCCACTCAGCACCTCCTGGTCCTCTCTTAATGGCAGAAGGAACCCCAGGCAAGTGCTTTCGCCAGCGATGGCCACACTCTGTCTTTTAAGAAACTGATGTGAAGTCGTCTCATATGGTAAAACGTGCCCTTGAGTATGTGCCTTTCCCATGCCCCTGAGCAACCTGAATCTGGCCTACCGCGATTCTACCGAATCTACTGAGAAATGTACATTGGGAGACATTTGTACCAAAATACTAACAACTTTTCATGTGGACATATGTGTTTAGAATTCAGGAACATCCTTCCAGGACAAGTGGCAGAGATTCCTTTGCAGAGCTTTTTCGTCTAGAAATTAAGAAGTGCTCCTGCCTCATTTAACAGACAACCTTAAGATTGCAGTCCCCCATCCTCAAATTTGGGGGGAAACATTTAAAGGTTGGAGCTGATGGTGGCACTTCTGTGCCTCTGCTATACACCATGCCAGGCCGCCCAGTACTTGCTTACGTTCTCCACGCAACACTACAAGCCTCATATTCTGCCCTGCCCTGCCCTCTGTGCCTGGGTCTCTGAGGAACTGATCCCTTTCCCTCCCTCTTCTCACCCTTGCACCTCATCCCTTTCCCCCAAGGAACTCTTTGATGTGATCCTGGACGAGAACCAGCTGGAGGATGCTTGCGAACACCTGGCAGACTACCTGGAAGTATACTGGCGGGCAACTCACCACCCTGCGCATGCTGCCGGCGGCCAAAACCTCACCACACCTTCGACTGCCATTCCAGGCCTGCAGGTACAAATAACCTAACAATTGGGGCAGAGGCAGGGAGCTGTGGTCCTCCAGGTGTTGGGACTGCAAGTCCCATAATCTCTGACTGTTGATTCTGATGGGGAAAATTGCTGGGAGGGGGCGGGTTAGTGCAGAAGCCTCAACCTTATGGCAGGCCAAATAAAATAAGTCACCCTTAAGTGCCACTGGAACTAGCTGTGCGAGATGCAACACAATTCCATGCATGACTACCATACCCAGTGGGAATTGCTTCCTGGTGCGTTGGCTCAAGGTTGCCATTTTTAGTTTGAATTGTTTCAGTGGGATTTAAGTGTGAGTGACTGTAACTGTCTCATGGGCCCTGCCCAGACACGCTATGGTCCCCCAGATGGCGCTGTGTCCTTGGGTGCTTTTTGTGACCCGCTTTACGGTTCCCCACTCCAGAACCAGGCCTCGCTGGGCGAGCGCGGCAACGAACGCTCCCCGGTGGAGCACGACAGCCTGATGCAGTCGGACGAGGCGAGCGATGCCTCCCGCAAGACTTGGACGGCGGCCTCTCAGCGCAGCTCCCGGCACCTGGAGGAAGAGTACTCGGATGCCTACACTGACCTGTACCAACCTCACCGCAACCACAACAGCGGCCTCCACAGCACCAACGGCCACGACTCCCAGGACCGCCTCCTGGAGCGCGAGACAGAGCACAACCACAACGAGAGGAACTGGCAGCGCAACCGGCCCTGGGCTAAGGACAGCTACTGAGGCCTCCTGGCCGGGCTCCTCCCGACCCTCCCTCGGCCGGGCAGCCAGGGAAACGGGATAAGGCCTCCTTCTCCTCCCGAGTCACGACAATTGCCTGGTATTAAGCCTTCCTCTCTTCCTCCCCTCCCAGCTCAGCCCCACAGTATACAGGTCCTGCCCTGGTATACAGGTGCTATCCATGGAACCCCAGACACAGCCACAGCTGCCTGATTCCTAGACCCAGGACGGGTGGAATCTCTCGCTCACCTTTGCTTTGGGTTAATGAGGGCCACAATAACGTCCTTGCAGGGTAAATTCCATTGGTAGCTTCTCATCCCAGGTCCATTGTTTTTTGGGGGAGGGATTTGGGCTTCGGGCATCTCCAGGAGAGAGGCGATTGCGTGTGTGTGCACACAAAAGGGGGTGGAGAAAGGGCTGCGGTTCTCTTTTTCTGACTCCAGGTGAGCAGGGCTAGTGTTAGGACAAAGGAGGCTTAGCAGGGAGCAACACCAGGATCAGTTTTCCTGGTAAGATGGAGTAGATGGATTACAAGCGGAAAGACAAGATTGTGGGCTTTTGCTGAAAGGACTTGGGGGTCATTCTCATGCTTTGCTGTAGGCCAGTTCACTTGATCTTAGCCAAAAGGCCGAGAAGCGATGCTGTAGGCCAGTTCAGAAGTAATATGATTGGGGTTGCTGAGGAACACGGATGTCTGCTGTGGGAATGGGTGTGGTCTGTGAGTAGATTTTCAGATTTGCAGTTGCAGCGGGTGAAGTCATGACACCTGAGCTTTGTGGCATTGGCGACTGTTTGTGCAGGTGCTTTGATGCATCACACACAGCCATATGCAGCAATGGGGGGGGGGGCGGGTCTAACTGTCCCCTGGGCTGATCCACTTCAAGTTGCAGGGGTAGAAGAATTGCATAGTTAAACATACTGGAAAGGAATTTCCCTCATATAGAAAATTAGTGTGGAGAAGGCTAGACTAAGATGCTTCTTCTTCATGTTTAGTTTCTGTATGCAGGGAGATATATGTATTCAGCAATGTGATTCCCTTACCTGTAGCTTAAAGTAGCAGTCTAGAAACAGTTCTTCCGTCTTTCCCTCCTCTTCCATTCATGGCAGTGGGAAAATGTGGCATAATCCAAGAGGTGAATGATGGGTTGTGAAATGTCAGACAGCATCCACATGCAGTCATAGAGGCCACCCCACAGCGGCTTTTCCACCTGGAGATATTCTCCTGATAAGTGGGGTGCTTGTTTTTTCAGCATCATCACTCACAGGCGTGGCTAAGGCCAATAGGAGAGGCTTACATGGCCTTTGCCTGACATTGCTCCTCTGAGACCATGAGATTTGATGCCGCTATGAGCAAAGTCGTGCTCCAAAGTAACCGTAAGAACTGCCCCAAATTCCTTCCTCCTTCTTCCACAGAGCCAGTGTGGTGTAGTGGTTAGGAGCGGTAGTCTCGTAATCTGGGGAACCAGGTTCGCGTCTCTGCTCCTCCACATGCAGCTGCTGGGTGACCTTGGGCCAGGCACACTTCTCTGAAGTCTCTCAGCCCCACTCACCTCACAGAGTGTTTGTTGTGGGGGAGGAAGGGAAAGGAGAATGTTAGCTGCTTTGAGACTCCTTCGGGTAGTGATAAAGCAGGATATCAAATCCAAACTCTTCTTCTTCTTCTTCTCCTCTCCCAGTTTGGCTTCTGTGAAGTGGAAGCCCTCCTAATTCCTAGGAACATGAGAGGTAAACTGCACATTTTACACAAACATGTGTAATAAAGTCCTGATATAGTAGAATCATGTCTTGCACACGGGTTAATTTCCAGGGGGTAGCACATAAAGCCGAAATTGTGTCTCGTCAAAACAACCCCCTGGAAACGCCATCACGCAAGCAATTTTACCTTCAGGAGATGGTGCGAGATCTTGTGGGGCTGTCCAGATTCTCACAAGACCTTCTCAGAACCCAATGAGAAAGTCTGAGAGCTTAAAAGCATTTTCTGCCTTTTGTGCGTTTAATTTGTACGATATCAGCTGGCCAGCTGCCAAGTGCATAAAGCTGCGATCGTCCAAGTTAAATGTGTGCAAGTTGCAATCCTACTGCACTTCAGATATATATATTTAAAGCAGATTTGGGACGGTATGATTTTGGATAGGGGAGCAGCAGGTTTGCACAATCATTTGCAAATTGGCTGCACTAAAAATGCTATTGCAGTGATGGGGGTTCCAGATCCACAGGAGACGGGTGGAGGGGGCAGGTGGAGGAAACATGTTTTTCGGTGGGAGGAGAGTACAATTTTGAGTAGGGAACAGGCAATGGAGAAAAGATGAAGCACTCCTTTCCACCCTTCTGCTGTTGAAAAAGTTGCAGCCTCCGGAGACCAGGGGATATAATATTCAACTATTTCCCTGGCACAGAAGAGAAGCCTGTAACAAATGAGCAATGCATCTCCTTAGAGATCCACAGTCCAGGCGTCTGCTTGCACTGGACCCCTTCTTCCCCTCACAGAGACTCTTCGTCTCCTTTCAGTGCACAGCCACCCCTCCTCTGTCAAGGAGCTGGTGGGATAACAATCAGTTGTAAAGCCACAATGTGATATTTTTTTGTTCTTCTTCTTCACCCTCCCTGGAGTTCTCTGCTATAATTGCATGAGGCCTTGATCTTCCATAGTCTGTCTGGGAGGGGTGGGCGAGTACCAGCCAGCGTTGCTGCTTGGCAGTGATGCTCACCTGCATCACTCACAGATTCTGTTTTGAGGAGGGAGGCATAGGGCTACAGCCAACCCCACCCCACCATTTCCTGCTTCCTATCTCATGCACAAGCCCCCTTCCTACCCCAAAGGCCCAGCTGACCTGCCTTCGGTTCTCCCGCCGCCCCTTGCTCCAGGCTCCTCCAGCACTTCACTGGGCAGCGGATGGCAGCTCCCTGCCTTTAAAAACCACGTACACACCTATCAGAAATCAGCCTGTAAATACTGCATGCTACCATCGGGGAGTTGTTTCGAGTGTGTGTCCTACGCCCTGGGCTGGCCGGAGGAACTGAGGCAGCTCCAGGGGCCAGGGATATCCGGGTTCTATCCCTGCAATTGCCGGTCAGTTGGCCATGGCAAGAGCTTTGTTACTATTCTTTTGTAGAGAGCACTTATTTCCCTGACTTGTAAGCGGTTTGAAACAACAAGCGTTTGCTGTTTATAAAACATGGCTGGTCTGTCTTTTTTTAAATGGAATATGATGGGTAAAGAACAGTGGCGCTCAGTGGGTAATCAGTGAGCAGAAATTAATGTTTTGTATGGTTTATGCACTCTTAAAGGCAACGTGGGTAGGGCCTGCTGTGAACTGGGTTAGGTGTGTTCAGTGTTGACTCACAAACACAATACTTCTTGCAAAAACCTTCAAAGAGGCTTAACAGCTCTTTGCCGCATTGTTTAGTTCTTTGAGGCAGAGCCTAGGACAGCAGAGGATTGGGGGAAACCTCAGACCCAGGAGGCAAGCTTTTCACAGTCCTCAGGACTCTCCCTAGGCACCCAGCCCGAGTTGCTTTTGCCAGGCTGGACATTGCCAGACTGGAATGTGTCTTTGAACTGCAACGATGCCACTCGCTTGCCTGAATAGAGACAGGCCTGTGGGTTTTTGTGGAGCAGGAACATAACCTGCCATACAAGGGGAAAAGTTGCATCTGTTGCTCCACACATTTTTTACTTCTGCCCCACCACCCACCACCAACATGCTGCCCAGGAAGGCTGCACAGAAGTGCATGTGGCTCTCAGGACAAAAAGTGTTCCTCTCCCTGGAACTAAGGCTCTCTGCTGTGCCACACAAAACCATAGTTCCTACGGATACCTTAAGGGAATCTATGGCACTTAATGTGGTATATAAAAACACATAAATCAAATGGAAAATCTCAAGAGCTTAGCTGCAGCCCAAAGAAGTTCAGTTGGCTGTAGCTGGACTTGACAAGGCCACACACACACGCACACACGAAGCAATTGTCATTTGTGAAAAAGCCGGGCAGGTGAGGGAGGCCGTCGACATTTGACTCGTGTGCTGATAATTCAATGTGCATTTCCCACCAAGCCTTAAATTGGAGCTACCAATTCAGCAGCATACACCCTGCCCTCTGTCAGCACTACCTGAAGCACAGCACAAAGTGCACTTTAGCCAAAAGGAAGGTTTGAGTCTGCATATCAAGAGTCCTTTCGCATTTCAGGTGTTAATACTCCTACTGGGTTAAACAAGCAAAGCAAGGTATGTGAATGGCTGCATGTCACTTTTGCTTCCAATGTATGTGTGTCCTGGTTTTCAGAGATGTATACCAGGAGCAAAAGGGGAATTTGTGTAATCATTTAGTTCCCCTCACAATAAACTATCACATGAAGTACCTTCTCTCCTACCCACCCCTGCAACCTCCCCTCTCCCCCGTGCACACACTAAGGACTCTGCATTCCAGCTCCTGCTGTGGAGACTCTTTCAAAAAGTCTTTTAAAGAGCACATTTGAAGAATTTAGTCTGCAGATATGCAGATGAAGCTGTGGAAGTGGCTACCCAGTCCCAGAGAACAAAGATGGTTCAATAACACACTGTCCTCAAAGTCCACGTGGTACTGTCCTAAGCATCGGTAAGACAGGCCTTCCTGCTTTCAATGAACCAGACTCCATAGTTAGTGAACTCAGCACTGCAGCTTTCTACCACAAATGTCTTCATCTCTGCATTATCACAATTCCTGGTGGAAATGCAAATTTATTGGTGGAAAATCCATACTCTTTGCTCTGGGCACTTAATTTACATTTCAGATTATGCAATATTGCACCACTTGTTCCAGTTGCAGCAGAGTAAGAGAGCTTTTCAACATGCAGCCCTTGCCTTATCCAGTGCTGAGCAGGCCAGCAAATAAAGGTAAAGTCACCCCAAAGCATGGAGGGCTACACTAACTGAATGGGGTGCTGTCCAGTCACATTACAGTCATATCTCGGGTTAAAGACGCTTCGGGTTAAATCTTTTCAGGTTGTGTCCCACGGCGACCCAGAAGTACCGGAATGGGTTATTTCCGGGTTTTGCCGCTCACGCAGATGCTCAAAATGACGTCACGTGCATGTGCAGAAGCAGTGAATCGCGACCTGCGCACACATGGGTTACATTCTACTCAGGTTGTGAATGAGGCTCCGGAATGGATCCCGTTCGCAACCAGAGGTACCACTGTATGTTAAATTTCATTTGGGGCATTCTTGCCAAAAACGACCACCACTGGGTTGCAACAGGAGTGTAGGGCTGCAGCTCACTGGACATAGAGCTACTCGCTTGCAAAAATACATGTGCCTCATGGTGTCTGCAAATGGTTCACTTTTACGGCAACACAAATGAGGTCCCACTTCTCTTCAAACGTCTACTTCTGCACACCTTTGCTGAGACATTCAGCAGTGACATCAAGACATGCCAGGTTTTATCCCAGGCATCTTCAGATAGGACAAGAAAAGGCTTCTGTTTGAAACCCCTGGAGAGCAGTGTAGAGGATATTGAGCTAGAAATATTTTGTTTGTTTTAAGTCCAACATGCCATCAACCTTTTGGGTTAGGGACATAAAGAACAAACAATTTCTACACATTTTGTTTTTAACAAAAATAAGTT